TATCCAAATGTAAACAAATGACGTCACACATTATGAAATCGACAATTATTTTAAGACATTTTTAAGACATTGCCAACGTCTGTTAACATATCTTCTATGGATTTATGGAGATTAACAGGTTGCGTGTTTGTGCGGATTTAAAGTATGTGCATTGTCACAAATGATAAACAAAGAAGGATTATACAAAATCTTGAGTGTCTATTTAGGACGTTTATTTATTTATTTATTTATTTTGTGGCGACTGTAGTGAAACAAATTTCTCGGTGTCTCTTCACTATGTCCGTTTTCTGTTTCGATTCAGAAGTAAGTTAGAATAACAATGGTTAAAATGGTCAAACTCGAGTCAGCTTTGCGGTGTGTTGGAACAACCAATTCACTTACTTCATGAGTAGGGCTGCCAAAAAACACGCCCGAACGCTGTCGTTGGAAAGCGGAAAAGAATCTCCAGTTGTCAGTGGACCGGGGAAATTAATATTCTCCAGCGGGAACGTAAGTATCACGTTGTGCTACATCTTGGAGCAAAAAGGAGGAAGAGGAAGAGCATGTTTGCCTTTTTTTTTTATCATATTTCCTGTTCCATTACTGTTAGCATCAAGGGAAAATATATTTCTTTTTTGTGTTAATCATTATTATTTTATTTATTGATTTAATTTCCCCACCTATTTCCAAAAAAAAAGCATGTGGACTTGATCGTATCCCTGCAATAGTAGGAATATGCTCCTGAACTGGCTCTTGTTCTCTCTAAAACTCTACTTGCTGCTTCTTACTTTCCTGCTTGTTGAAAACCCTTTAGTTTCTATCTTTAAGGTCTCAGAGTAACCGTCTGATCATTCTAACATCCTATTAATCTTCGACCTCGTTTTGGCAAAGTACCAGAGGCGAAATGGTTAAACATTTAACAGAGCACGATTTTTTTTTTCAGACAAGTAATATGGTTCCCGCTTCTCTAGATCAACTACTGGCGTATTAACAATTTTTGCTGGAAGAGTCTATCAAAGGTTTAGATAAGAATGGACGAAGCTCGGGCTGTTGCTTTGGATATCTCGAAGGCGTCTGAAAGGTTTTTTTTTTACATGGTGGTCTTCTTCACAGGTTATGGTATTTCAATCTTTGATTTTAATCTTTCTTTCTATCAAATCACGAAATGAAGGTTGTCTTAAACGGCCACTCTTCTAGATCTATTCGCAATAACGCTGGTGTCCCCTAGGGCTCTATCGTGGACATACGTTGTTCCTTATTTTCATCAACGATCTCCTGATGTCATATGTTCTCAACTCAGTATCTATGCTGATAATGCAACTATTTACTCCTGACGTTATGTCAAGTGTTATGGCAATTTTTCCACGCACGCATGGACTCCTCCAGCTATAAATAGGAACATGTACTGCCTTTTGGAGAGGGAAGTTTTTAGCAGTCAGCTCTGACAGTCGGACCGAACATTCTTGTTGTAACACTTTCGTTTGTATATGTTTGTATGACTGTTTTTGTTAATATATTTGTTCAATTCATTTCCTCTCTTGTGTCTTTATTTCTCGCCCTAACAAGGCCACAATAATTATCTATCTATCACAGTGTATTGATATCTATCTCAGTGTATTAATATCTATCTATCTATTATGGTAATTTACCCAAGCACGCATGGACTGTCCCAGCTATAAATAGGAGCATGTACTGCTTTTTGGAGGGTAAAGTTTCCAGCAGTCAGCTCTGATAGTTGAACTGAACATTTTTGCTGTAACACTCTCGTTTGTATATATTTGTATTACTGTTTCTGTTAATATATTTGTTTAACTCAATTCCTCTCTTTGCATCTTTATTACTGGCCGTAACAAGGCCAGAACAGTAAATCTGATCGGTTCGTTAAGGTCAAATTGAAATCTGATTTAAAAAAAAAAAATAACCTATGGTCTTTTGTTAACTGGGGCAAGAAATGGCATGTTAATTTTAAAGCCCCAAAATCGAAACTGATCTCTTTAAATCGTTTTAGATAACCTTTTTTCCATCATCATGGCTGATGCTAACCCCCAGAAGAATATCTCATTACACCGTCTCGGGCTAATGTTTTCTATTGATATGAAGTGAATCAATTGTTAGGTTTGCTTGCTAAGAAAGATGGTTCACTGTGTCATGCTAGACAATGTTTCTCTCCTGAATCTATCTGACATATTTGAATATTACTGTAACATCTGGCCTGCTGCTTCTGCTATGTATCTAGAGATTCTTGATATAAGTCAAGGAATTCGCAATGTTATTGATCCTGACCTGGCACCTCGGTTTCAGTAATTTTCCCACCGCTCTAACGTAGTCTCTGTGCATTTTGTATAAATATTTTCATGATAACTTTTCTGATGAGCTTGCCTCATTGGTACTTCGAATTTACGAATTTAAGCGCAGTACTAGATTGGCAGCTAGGTCTCATCATTTTACAGTTGAAATGGCTAGGAGTAACCGTAAGTTCTATGCAAACAGTTTCTTCTCTCTCACTGCTCGCTTGTAGAACTTTTGTTATGTCAACGAATGCTCGTTGTCACTTTCGTAATGCTCGTTGTAGTAGAGACTTTGTAATCGCAGATACAACTATAGTAACGCTGTTGAGCAATGCTGGTGTCAGATGCCTTTGAATATCACTCGCACTAATAGTAATTGCTCAATATTATTTGTATAGTGATCTGAATAGAGAAATAGTATAGTAAATAGAGTAGAGAATAGCGGTCCGTATAGTGATAGAGGATAGAGTATAAATGCGATCCAAATCGTAATAGAGGATAAAATAGTAATGACGATCCGAATAGTATAGAGGATAGACTAGAATATAATGATCAATTAGACACACATTACCTCCCATAAATGCGTTTTCTCTATGGTCTCGTGGTCTACTTAATTCAATAATGGGATCGCCTGTGTTTACTCACTGGCGATCTGTGTTCGAACTCAAGTGTTGTCAGCGACACTTTATTCATATATAACAAGAACTCTCTTCGAGACCCTTGTTTCAACATTGTTCTAAGATATCCTCTTTGGTACATCGACTTTACTAATGTATGTGTAACACTAGATTGCCAGTTAGGTCTCATCATTTTACAGCTGAAATGGCTAGATGTAACCGTAAGTCCTATGCTAACACTTTCTTCTCGCACTTATGAAACACTTTTTCGGTTTTTTGTTTTCCGTTTATACTTGCAAGGAACAAAGAAAATTAATTTGACCAATACATAAGCAAAAGCTTCTGCTATGAAATGGTTAAATGTAACCGTAAATTCTCTGCTAACAGTTCATACTCTCAGACTTCTCGCTTGTAGAACACTTTCGCAACTCTTGCTTTCCAGTGAACTTTGATCTTACTGTTTTTCTTTTTATCACATTTTCTCACACTCAGTAACCCCTTGCGTCTTAGTGGATTTATTGCCTTACTTGGTATAAATGATTAAAAAAAATGAATAAATCTATCATTCATCAGTACAGTGAATATCACTGCCATACATGATCTGGTGTTCCTACTACATATCGATTCCATTCTAATAGTTTATTTTCACTGACTCCTAGGTATCTATAGACTTCTTCTTGTTCCAGTTCCCTAATCATTGTGACAAAATCTAGATCTATTGAGTGTGTCTTTGTAATTCTCCCTTTCTTGAATGTTACTTTTGCACATTTATCTCATCCGAAATCCATAGCTACGTAGTCACTGAAACATTTTACATTATTGAGGAAACTCTTTAACTTATTATTGTCTTTGGCAAAGTGTTTGAGTTCACCGATGTAAAGTAGGTGATTGAATACTTTCTCGATTTGTTTGTATCCATAGCTATTAATGTTTAGTTCATGCATAAGGAGGATTAAGGACAAACAAAACAGAAGAGGTGACAGGGAGTCTCCTTGAAAGATTCCTCGTCGGATATTCCGGCAGTTCAAGATGACAGTGACTCTGGTGTGATTTAGGTATAATGTGGTGTTTATTTTAAAATATGATTTTTTTCAACGCATTTCGTTTCTAATTTTCTTCTCAACTTTTCAATCCATCTTTCAACGAATTACAACAATTACCATCCAGTGGGTAGACTCTTTCCTCTTCTTTCTTTTCTTTTCTTTGTCTGATCAACTTCCGGATATCTCAGTGTGACACAGTTCCCTAATCTTTGTGATAAAATCTAGATCTATTGATTGTGTTTCTGTAATTCTCCCTTTCTTGAATGTTACTTTTGTATATTTATCTAATCCAAAATCCATACCTATGTTGTCATTGAATCATATCAGAGTATTGAGAAGAAACTAATTGTCGTCTTTGCCAAAGAGTTTGATATCATCCATGTAGAAGAGGTGATTTAACACTTTCTTTTTTTTTTACTTTGGGTCCATTATTATTGTTTAGTTTATGCAAAAGAAGGGATTAAGGTCAGACAGAACAAAAGGGGCGTCAAGGTTTCGCCTTGAAGGATTCCTCATCGGATATTCAAACAATTTGGTGGGATTTAGGTTTGCGATGGCAAATAAAAAGCTTTCTCATTTGGGCGTCCATTCGTTTAATATCAGCTATGGTCCAGTTAAGGATGTTCAAAATGTATTGCACCACATTGAATGTGTTTGTGGCTCATATTCTGTTTTTTTTTTTTTGTTTTTTTTTTAATTCAGCTCGGTATTCAATACCAGACGCACACGCTTGTAATACTCCTTTCTTATCTTCTTCATTTTGGTATGTTGTATTCCATCTCCTTCGCTAATTTCTAATTATTTATAGCCTCCTACTTGTTCCAGTTCCCTAATCTTAGTGATAAAATCTAGATCTATTTAGTGTGTTGCTGTAATTCTCCCTTTCTTGAATGTTACTTTTGTATATTTTTCTAATCCAAAACCCATACCGATGTCGTCATTGAATCCTGTTACAGTATTGAGGAGAACCTTTAACTCATTGTCATCTTTGCCAAAGAGTTTGATATTCATGTAAAATAGGTGAATTAAACACTTTCTTTTGTACTTTGTGTCCATAGTTATTGCTGCTTAGTTTATTCAAAGGAAGGGATTAACGACAGAACAGAACAGAAAGGGCGACAGAGAGTCTCCTTGAAAGGGCGACAGAGAGTCTCCTTGAAGGGGCGACAGTCTCTTTGAAAGGGCGACAGAGAGTCTACTTGAAAGGGCAACAGAGAGTCTCCTTGAAAGGGTAACAGTGAGTATCCTTGAAAGGGCGAAAGAGAGTCTCCTCGAAAGGGTGACAGAGAGTCTCCTTGAAAGGTCGAAAGAGAGTCTCCTTGAAAGGGTAACAGTGAGTCTCCTTGAAAGGGCGAAAGAGAGTCTCCTTGAAAGGGCAACAGAGAGTCTGCTTGAAAGGGTAACAGTGAGTCGCCTTGAAAGGGCAACAGAGAGTCTCCTTGAAAGGGTGACAGAGAATCTCCTTGAAAGGGCAACAGAGTCTCCTTGAAAGGGCAACAGAGAGTCTCCTTGAAAGATTCCTCGTCGGATATTCAAAAAATTAGAAGTTGCAGTACCTTTCTTGTGATTTAGGTATAATGTGGTTTTCTGCAGTTCCATGCTATATTTAAGGAAATTCACTATCGCCGAAGAGACTGTACATTTCCAAAGCCTTAAGGATCCAAGGGTGTGGCACACTATCAAAGGGTGGGCTGAGACGTCTACCGTTTTTTCAACAATTTTCCAGGATCATTTTATTTATTAGTACTTGATCTTTGCAAACATATGTACTTCTTCGACATTTTGAAACTGTATTGCACCACAGGGACAGACAAATTGTTTATGTTTGATATTCTGTTTTGGGAATTCAACGTGGTATTTAATACCAGTCATACACACTTTCTATTCTTACTATATCCTTCATTTGGGTATGATGTATTCCATCTCCTTCGCTGACACCTAGGTATTTATAGGCTTCTTATTGTCCCGGTGCAACTCCACTCGTCGGGCCTCATCAACGATAACTAATAATATCATCCCACACCGCTCCGCGTTGCTCCTCAAGTTCCTTTAGACCACCAGGGTTACTATCTAGCTGACTCTTCACTCGTTAACGCGTGGCTACTTTGGCGCTGGCATCGTGATGGTATGCACAGTTCCACTCGATTTAGCTGGCGTTTGTTTGTTCCCGACCATTCACTCCTCTGCCATGTTGTGTATTTTTTTTTTTTATCTCAGAGGGTAAGAAGATCGCTGATGAAGGAAACTGAAGTGAAGGCTGTTCGACAGCTGGAACTACGCAAAAATCAAAACTCCTTTGGAATAAAGAATTAACTCGGGTTAAAATGTAACAACGATTTGGTTCACATATGATTTGTTGCATACAGCAATTTTAACCCTTCCCACTTACTGGGATAATTAAATGACACTGGGACTACCCGCCTCGCCCTACTTTTAGTGTGCAGGTTGTGTTAGTAGTAACTTAAATTTCTAGGTTCTGGTCTCAGGGCCGGCACAAAGTTTTGGTCAGTAGATCTCGGCGAACGATGTGGATTCCAGTAACAGTAGATCTATGTTGTCCAGATCCCCGGCTTATATGGAGTCCTGCGTCGGGCAGGCGTGGGTTTGACTATGGTCTGGGTTTGGTTGTCTTATACCCTAAGCACCAACCTTTTCTAAATTTCTATATATATAAAAATATATTTACTCAAGTGGTTTTCCAAATTTGGGGTTGTGCAACCCCCTTATAAGAATGGTCAGAGAAATCAAGCTGCCCCTTAACTCTAACTCCCTTCACTTCTCATCTCGCACCATCGCTCTATATAGGCGGTGCTAAGCTACATCTTCCTTCTCCTACTTTCTCAGCAGCTTACCTCAGTCCGCTGCTAGAGCTGGTGTGACTAATCCAGCTTCCAGATGGCATAACGAATGCAAAAGGGATTTTCAATGATTAACCTATCTTTACCAGCTTGTCCCATGCTGTGATTTCCATTAGTCTTATATTGAGAAAATCGTAATATATCCGAGTATCCCTCGTTTGAGAAGTCTACATTTTAAGCAACTGCAAATATTTCGCCAAAGATGTTCTCTGTCTGAGGCGGAACAACTTCATGGAGAACCACCATAACGCAAGATCTCCGGCTGAAACCGAAAATACAGTGTTGATCTCACGTAGTTTAGCATCTGCTATACTGATGGTAGGCAGAAAATGTCCTCTGGCGAAATTATTATTATTATTATTATTATTAGAGCCGAGTTCGAATTCCAGTCAAATCCATTACATTCACTTACGTGCTAATAACTTTGGGAAAGGTATGAATGCTCCTATTCTCTCCCCCTCCCAGCTAAGCGGTAAATAGCAGGACAGACCTGGATCTATAGCCTTGGATGACAACTAGTCTATCGTAGAAAGAAATGGTAACCTACTGCGGAAAAAATCTGTCTCATCAGTCATGTATTGAAAGATACATGATCGCCTAAGCGTGTATTACGCAAGGCACATAAGTAACTTATTATTATTATTATTATTAATATTATTATTATATTAACGTCGTCAATAGAAATTCAATTCTTGAGGCATGGTGTCAACAAGACGCGTCACAACTCTTTCGTAAAATCCACGCAGAGTAAATGATAGCAGTTTTCTGGATTGAATAATTAATTTGTTTTTTTTTTTTACGATTTGTCAACATTTGCTGATTATTGAAAGCCAGGAAATATCTTTAGATTGAAAGAATTTATCGTAGATAATAATGATTTACCGATACAGGTCCTACTACTTAAGCTCTATCTTGAGGGAGAAAAGGTAGATTTCCCAGGAGTATTTAAGGGTATATGAATATAAAGAACCCGACTGGAGATGGAAACCCTCTCTTCGATTTTCACCACCCGTACATCCAAGCATACAATACCCTGTATTCACAAGTGTTCATACTAGCTGGAATCTGTTCCAGCTGTGCTGGTCAAACTCTCTGCCTGGAGGCAGAGAGGATCCCCCTGACAAGGCTATGTCGAAGGGCAGAAGCTCGTCTCGGGAAACAGCTACCACCCCGTTTTATACGGGGAATTTTTGACTGAGCCTACGGGCTCGTATTCCTCACATTAAATTCGGCCCTGTGCCACATCAGATCGCGTGAGGTGTTTAATAATTATACTAGCTGGGATCTGTTACTCAGCTCTTAGCTGTTGTCGAACTCTCTGCCTTCGGGCACAGAGGGATCCAGATGAGGCTATGCCGAAGGGCAGAGTCTCGACCGAGAAGGTAGACAGACCCGAACCTGTTTATGCGGTGTCTACGAGGAAATTCTTTTGGCTGAGCGTACGGGCTCGGATTCTCCTACATTAAATTCGGCCTTGTGCCACATCCTACTTCGTGGGGAGGTTGGTAAATATTAATAACCAGTCTTTATATTGCTTAGCTTCAGTGATCGTACGAGAACCGGTGTTTCAACGTGATACGGCCGTAATCCGGCAGTTTTCTTGGGGTCTGCAATCGTGGTCTCAGTTCCAATTCTCCCAATAGGTTTTTTTTTTCAAATTTCCTCAAGGGATTTATTGTGAGGCTTGCCCCTTGTACACAAGATGGACTCGTCCAAAGTATACTTAGACTACGGAGAGATAGCGTGACAAAAACGTCGAGACAGGGTGTTCACCCAGAGAGTCCAGAAAGAGAGATGATTACGGCTTCACTTACAGAGACTTGTACATATACTTTTCTACTAACCCGCATTCCTGGACTACTAATCTTCATTTCAAGTTTGTATTCTTACGTTTAATACACCTATTTTTCTATTTCAATTACTGGCGTTGTTTATTTATTTGTACAGGATTCCATCCCCGGAATCCACAACATTATGAAATAAAAGTTTGTATTTAGAAAGTTCTTCTTTCTGACTGAAATGGAAATGAACATAAGTAGTTATTATATTCAGTGCTGGCGTGTTTATTTATTTGTGCAGGATTCCATCCCCGGAATCCACAAATCAGTCATTATTGGCCTCTCTCTCTAAAAAAAAAAAAAAAAAAGATTCTTCATAAATCGTTTTAAATGAAAACTGTATCATTAAACCTCTTTGGGGATGCTAAAGCAGTAATTCTTGTAGTAATGAGTGCACGTGGAAGAATGCATTCATTGCTACAGTAATTACTTCAACAGTCACGGGCCATAAATTCTTCAACTCCTTGTGATCACGTAGTTTAAAGACCGGTGGAGTATATCCGTGACTCATGAACAAGAGACGCTACATTAGCCGACAGTCCTCCACCCAAAAAATGTTTCAATAGAAATGATGGTGTTTAGGTGACCTTAAATTCACTGATCTCCAAATTATTAATTATTTACATTTAGACTAATGAATGTGATTGTGTAGAAGTAAGTATAACAAGAGTGTGTGATAGACACATTTGTATATATTTATGTTTGTGGGGGAACGCATGCTCCTCAGCGGCAGAATTATTATCTACGTGTGACTATATCTGAAAGCTAGAGAAAAAATAGAAAGAGGGGATGACAGATAATGTTGCTGTCTTAGGCTTAAGGAGCGTCCCCTAGCGGCGTTTTTTAGAAAATTAAGCAGGGTAATCCCACATGCATACCTGATATCCAGTTCTTTTCTCCTAGACTGTGAGGAATAATATTAATTATGATAGATTGATAGATAGATAGATAGATAGAAACAGATTGAGATACATGGAAAGAGAGAGGGATATGGAAATAAATAAATATACTCTTTAATAAAGAAATAAAAAAGAGCATCTGTTTAAATATGGGTGTCCATCAAAATAATGCTTAAGCAATAGATAGATAGATAGATAGAAACAGAGTGAGATAGATAGATAGATAGATAGATAGATAGATAGATAGATAGATAGATAGATAGAAACAGAGTGAGATAGATAGATAGATAGGTAGATAGATAGATAGATAGATATGAAAAGTCTGTGGTAGAATAGATAGATAGATAGATAGATAGATAGATAGAAACAGACTGTGATAGATAGATAGATAGATGGATAGATAGATAGATAGATAGATAGATCGATAGATAGATAATGAATTGATTGACATAGATAGATAGATAGATATGATAGATGATGAATGAGATAGATGAGATAGATAATGAATTGATTGACATAGATAGATAGATAGATAGATAGATGGATGAATAGATAGATGATGATAGATGGAATGAATAATGAATTGACTGACATAGATAGATGGATGATAGATGGATAGATAGATAGATAGATAGATAATAGAAACAGACTGTGATAGATAGATAGATGAATGAATGAATAATGAATTGATTGACATAGATAGATAGATAGATAGATAGATAGATAGATAGATAGATAGATAATGAATTGACTGACATAGATAGATAGATAGATAGATAGATAGATAGATAGATAGATATGAAAAGTCTGTGGTAGATAGATAGATAGATAGATAGATAGATAGATAGATAGAAACAGACTGTGATAGATAGATAGATAGATAGATAGATAGATAGATAGATAGATAGATAATGAATTGATTGACATAGATAGATAGATAGATAGATAGATAGATAGATAGATAGATAGATAGATAATGAATTGACTGACATAGATAGATAGATAGATACATAGATAGATAGATAGATAGATAGATAGATAGATAGATATAGAGAGAGAGAAAGAAAAAAAGAAATAGACTGAGATACACAGACATGAGTAGATTGAGATATAGAGAGATAAAATGATGAAGCCATAAACTGCGTCTTAACAATGAAAGTCCGAAGCTGAACAGCCGTTTTTATCTGGTTAGTTTTATTTGCCAATATTCCAAGACGATTGCTGTTCCTGCCCTCAAAGAAATCGGAGAAGAATTTGGAATATCTTGCGTTCGCGCGTGGTGAGGGCAAGATAGGATGAGAAAGGTCACCTCTCAGTAGATGGTATATCATTTGGCAGGGCCGAGATAGAGATGGGAGGAGCCGAATTCTAAAGTTAGAACTGTACGCCATCAGGTCACCGAATGAGAAAGAATTTGATTTATAGCTTTTTCACCGAGGCTTGTGTTGTAGTAAGGTATTTGTCGAAATACACCAAATGTATATTTCGTAATTTAAAGAATAATTGTTCTTGCGCGAAAATGTATTTTTTTTTAATTTTCGTTTATTTTGAATTTTTTTCTAAATAAAATCCATCTATAACGAAAGAGTTGCCTTTCTTTCTACCCACACACTATATACAAAAAATATATCTGTCTCTAACCTTTTATGTATATATATATGTGTGTGTGTGTGTGTGTGTGTGTGTGTGTGTATATATATATATATATATATATATATATATATATATATATATATATATATATATACACCTAATTACGTTACACCTATCTGATCATAGCTCCATTAGAACCCATTTAAACACACACACAAATTTATCAGACTCCATTAAAAACATACTAGTAGAAAACACAAATATATTCACTGCATCCACCTGCAAAAAAAGACTAAAAATAATGGAAGATTTAATAATAAAAAAGAAAAAGCCAACTCTTAACAATATTAACTACGAACAAAGCCACAATGTGCTAATCGTATTCGGAAATAATAATAAAAAAAACCCAGCTCTATAACACACTAAAACAGACACATAATGCACACCCTCAATTAAGCTGAAAAATTGAATCATCTTTGATAATGGCTAAAGGTATAGCCGAAAGCGCTCGGAACTATAAAACATTTGGACAGTGTTTACGCACTCTTTGTCCAGAAAAGAAAGCTCTTGTTCGATCACAAGAGAAATTAAATAAAATCATCATCATCTTGCGGCCTCAGCCGAGATTGAACTCACCAATTCTTTGATTGGTGTAGTTCATAATCTTGTCTTGTTCTTGATGCTTCGCTAGGGATATCAAGGGTGTTTTTATCGTGACACCAACACTAAATGGATTGCCAACCAAGGCTCAGAGAGACTCCATTCACCCTCCTCTAAGAGCAGGTTTGAATTCAGAGTTTTCCTTCTCATAGACCAGTTGCCATCCAAGGCTATAGAACCCAATCTGTCCTGCTATTTACCCATAGCTGGAGGGAGAAGAAAGAGGATTCACACCTTTCCCAAGGGTGTTAGCACGTAAGTGAATGTAATGGATTCGACTGGAATCCGAACTCGTCTCTCCGATTCCTCAATCCAAGCCGCTATCCATTACTCCACCGTGCCTAAATAAAAAAGCTTAATCGTAGTACCTTGTCTGTCGTTTTTAATGAAACATGCATAATCGAAGGATTGCTGCTTTATACAACTTATATATATATATATATATATATATATATATATATATATATATATATATATATATATATATATATATATATATATATTAGGAAGTTTGATAATTATATTTAATTGATTCATCGATGAATTAATTAAATATAAATATAATTATCAAATCCTCCTAATAATTACTATCTGTGTATATTATTGCTTAAACCGGCTTCTAATGCTCTAGAGTGAGCGGCTTGGTGAAAGTAGTCGTGGCTCCTAGGGGGCACAGTCCTATGGTTAAAGAGAACTCAGAAAGAGTCCACCACGGAATATGTGAGCGAGCGGCGCTATATTGAGTCTGATTTGCCATCTCTTCGTTTGGAATAGTTGGTATGATGTTTGCTTGACGACCTAACTGTCAGGGTTTCAATTCTCGATAGTGGATGCGCACTGCTGATGAGTCCCAATTATAGGACAAAACGGCCGTCCAGTGCTTTCTGCATTCTGTTGAGATTTCTGTCAGACTCGATGAATTAATTATATATATATATGGTACGTTGGATAAATTGTTGATTAAATTACGCAAAAATGAAAATAATAGACCATTGATTTGAACAGATATATTTACCAAAATTGCACAAAAATATCTTGAAATACTAAAGAGTAAATTTATTCAATAAAATCGCCATTGTCTTCAGCCACGGCCTTCAGACGACGTCGGAATCTCCTGCAACTCTTCTGAGCTGGGTCGTTATTTAAATTGGTGAATGCTACCAATAAGCCATGCCTTCAGTTCATCTTTTGCGTTACAAGGAGTTTTGTTGGTCTCTCACGCAACTGCGCCCCACAAATAATAATCAATGGGTTGCAATCTGGGGATTTAGGTGTCCAGATGTCAGTGGTGATGTGGTCGCATAAATTGTTGGACAGCCATGACTGAGTTCTCCTGCCTACGTATCATGGTGCAGACTCCTGTTACCAGACATAGGGTCTTCTAGCAGCCACCATTTTGACCCAGGCAGTACTACCATGAACTTAATGTAGGCCTCCGTGTTGAGTTGAATGTTGTGTGAAAATGAATGGAGGCATAACATCGGCATCCCTAGTGGTCACTCAAAATACCTTCGTAATCACCATTAGACTCATCCAACTCCTTCCGAATCCTCTGCACCGTCCCCAGATTGACACCCAAAGATTATATATCCAAAAATTATATGCCCAAATAGATTCTATTATATTTTCCTTACTATAAGCGTCATATAAATAGGTTACGTCTTTTCTTTTTTTATTCAAGGCATAAGCGTCAACACGTGGGAATATAAACATCTAGAACATTTTTGAAAAGCTAATAGTTTTTTTTTTTTAGTTTCAGCTATCAACACGGTGTCATGCGCATACCTTGTTAAGATTGTGGCCGCCAATAATGAATCCTGGTTGGACTTCTAATTCTCTCAGAATTGCCACTCTGCATAGGTCGAATAAATGCGGTGATAAGATATCCTTGTCTTACACCCCTTTCTATTTTTGTATTTATTTAAATTTCTAATTCCGACACGAATTCAGTCTGTAACCCCGGGTTGAATAAAAGTGATGACATTTTTGTCGGTTGAAATAGATCTATTTCCCATATGAGGTGTTGAAACTTGACTAATGCATGGAATAATAATACAACGCAAAATGTACTTAGAACAAAATGTATTGAAACAAGAAAGTGTACACAATATTTACATATAGTCTTTTGTATATTCCTGGTAAGACCGTTCCTGGAGAATGGGTTGACTGAGTCGCAGTCGGGCAGAGTCTCTGGTTGAATCTCTTGATTCCTCCCTCTCTTCCCGGTACCAACCTTATTTATATGGTCGGTACTCCACTATGCAAATTAGGTGGATCCTACCACAACATGAGGTAATTTTGGATTTTATTGTGTACTACTATATATATATATATATATATATATATATATATATATATATATATATATAGGTGTATCAGAAATACTTTTACAAAATTTGGGACGCGTTCCTCGCACCAAAACAAGGACAAAGGTCTATATAAACATATGTCCGCAAATCCTTCGTTTTGAGTTCAGTTTAAAGAATGTTTACGGTAGATGGCGCCGTGTTGCCAGGTCGACCCGATTCATAGTTTGTGGTGGCATGAATCCTGTCTCAGCAACGCGACGATAAACAGCATCAGAGATTGGCTGTCTTTGGTCTGGAAATGCAATCTGTTACAGCCGTACAGCCTCGCGTCCATTAACATTTGTTCGGCCGTATGTAAAGATCATATCTGTTTGCTCACGATATGAATATCCTGCCATTGTTTAACGCAACTCTTCTCGGTTAACACATTACGTTGATTTAAACGTTGAAGAGAGACTAGCCACAAATGTACACGAATGACAAATGTAACCTAGTCTAGCAACACAGCGCCATCTACCGTATACTTTCTTTAAACTTAATCACTCAAAAACGAAGGATTTGTGTTTTTAAACTCCAGGGCAGTCATTCTTTCGTGTTAATCCAGAGTGTTAATCCAAGGTGTTTTTTAATTTGGCTAGTGATCCTCTCCAGGATTTTTCTGCTTATCTTTCTTATGTCGGGTCTAGTTGGGTTTATCATTCTGGTAGTGGGGTCTTCCTCAAAATCGTCAAAATTGAAGTCATCAATTGGTTTACCAACATCGACAATAAGCCTGACTGCACCCTAATTCAGTTCGATATTGTCGATTACTACCAGTCAATATCAAAAGACATCTTCACGACTGCCCTGTACTTTGCTACAGTGTATTCTGACTTAACTGAGGAAGAAACAAACATAATTCTCAGTGCAAAGAAATCTGTCCTAATCTGTTGTGGTAGGATCCACCTAATTTGCATAGTGGAGTACCGACCATATAAATATGGTTGGTACCGGGAAGAGAGGGAGTAATCAAGAGATTCAACCAGAGACTCTGCCCGACTTCGACTCAGTCAACACATTCTCCAGGAACGGTCTTACCAGGAATATACAAAAGACTATATGTAAATATTGTGTACACTTTCTTGTTTCAATACATTTTGTTTTAAGTACATTTTGTGTGCATTATTATTCCATGCATTAGTCAAGTTTCAATATCATCCATAATGGGGACCAGTGGATTAAAAACACAAATGACAATTTTGACATCACCATGGGATCTCTAGACTCTATGAATCTTCGGACCTTGTCGGTCTATTTATACTGTACACTCTAACCGCTGATAAAATTAGACATTAAGGGCATCAATATACAGAGATGACGGGCTCATGGTAGTGAGGAGCTCCACAAATTTTAAAACAGATAAAATTAATAAGATAATTTATAGTGAATTCGGAAAACTAAATTTAAAAACAGTAGTCAACACTAAATTAAAAAGAGAAAACTTCCTAGACGTAACCCTAGACTTAATGAACAACGTTCATCTACCTTACAGAAAACCTAACACAAATCCCTTGTATGTACACCCTAAGTCAAACCACCCTCCATCTATAATTAAGCATATACCCACATCAATAGAGAAAAGAATTAGCATGAACTCGGCTAGGGAAATATTCCGACAACACAGTAATTTTTATAACACAGCTCTGAAAAATAGCGGATACAAAAACGCTGACATAAGCTATAGAAGCGATAGTACAAATAATAAGAAAAACAGGAAAAGAAAGATCATC